TGCCAATTCCTTCTTCACTCAGACAATGACAGTGTAGACTCTGTTTGTGCTCTCAGCCATTCATTAGTTTACCTGTCATTTTTGGTGATTCCAAACTTACGTCTTTCCATCCGGCGTTGCGCAGCTTGCGGTTTATGAATAGCTTTCAAGCTTGGGGCTTAGTTTTGCATCAATGGGTTTGCAGGAGAACACCCACTGTTTGAAAATGTTTTGTTTTAAGCTCAAAGGCAATTTTCCGGAAAGGAACATTTTCTCTTTTCCAAAAGTGATCCATTTCTTTTGCTGATTTCAAATTGTCGGTTCTCCGTTGTGAGGATCAGCTGCCATGGCTGCACGTAGTTTCGCTCCTCATATAGCCTCAGCCGAGAACAGATTAACCTGCAGCATGTAACAGTTCGACAGAAACAGAAACAAAATAAGTAGAATTTAGAAAGCAATGATGAGTTACTCTACTTTCGCAGTGTTACAACATGTTCATCTTAAATCGCCGCTTCTTCTTTTGAGTTGCCGAGGCAGACGCGTCAGACAGAGGTTTTAACGTTCCTGATCCTGATAAATTACTGAACTGTTAATCTACAATTTGTTTCATGACTTAAACAACTGAAGAGATGACTGAAATATTCAAGTTTCTACACTGGCATGTCATTTTGCAATAAATTAAGCTGGTCAGCCATTGCAAACATTCTCGCTGGCTTTATCTGCCTCTACATCTATTTATATCGTTTTGCACGTGTTTACAGTAAGCATGAATATATCACTTACTTGGCAACGATGCAAGAGATATAAAATATTTTCTCTATATCTGACATATTTTGTAAGTACTAGATTCAACGCTGAACAACGTTCCTTACTTATGGTCAGTCTCGCCATATTTCAAGATGGCGTTATATTTCATCAAAGACTAGGATCTCCAAAACAGTTGAAGAATATCACATAAAAGTTGTTGTTTTTGCCCAGATTGGTGTTGATTTTGCAATGAAAACGATACGATGGGATGAAAATCTGGTACGTCTGCAACTGTGGGACATAGCAGGTACGCTGAAGATGATGAAGCAAGCTTACACCGACAACTTGTTACTAGGACAAGAAAGATTCGGAGTCATGACCAGGGTTTATTACAAGGAATCGTCCGGGGCTGTCGTGGTGTTCGACATCAGCAAGGCGAACAAGTTGGATGGTGTGGTCCGATGGAAAAAGGATTTGGACGCAAAGTGTCGCCTAAGAAACGGACGATCAATACCGACGATCGCATTGGCCAACAAGGTAAGGTAAGATGTTTCCGACAAATGAAGCATCAGATGCGTCAGAGCTTAGTGGACGGTCGATCAGATGATGTTGCTTAGTGTGATTTAGAAAAGTACTGTAGTTTTCATGACAAAAGCGGCATGGACGACTTCTGCGTGAAGTACGGCTTCGTCGGATGGTTTGAAACGTCCGCGAAAGAAAACGTTGGCATCGATGAGGCTATGAAACACCTGGTTAACCACGTAACACGTCTATGCTCTTAAACAGTGACCACTTCGCTAGTATCATCTTCAGATGATCACCATTCAAGCAGCTGGCGATTTTGAAATCCCCGTTCTTGAAGACGATCAGAAAGCGATCCGGTTGACCAGCTTCCCGTCGACGCCGGACAGTCACAGAAAATGTTGTCGTATTTGATGCGTGACTTTGCTCAGCCACATCGAGACTTTGCATCACGGAAAATTTGCACAAGTTCATGGGGAGGTTAATCGATGAGCTTGATCTTTGTTATAGGAAACGAATTATGAATAATGGAAAAAAAAATTCCTGAACCACAGTTTCGATGTTCTGCCCTGTTTGTTGTTTTCGAATAAACTATTTCTGCTTTGAAAATTGATTTTTATAATATATTCGCAGGGTTGCTCAGCAACTAAATTTGAGAGATCTTGCCATGTATCGAGTCACGGTCAACTCAACGAGTTGCACATGGAGACACGAGATGCAATACAAAATACGTAAGCAAGGATGTAAAGTAAGCATAATCAGTACCTAATGTACTGTAGATAGAGTGTTTTGCTAGTTGCATCGCGCTATCGATTCGTATTTCTGTTGTCCACTGGCAAATCTTCGCTCTCTGCTAACCTTCTGCATTGCTGCATTACTCGACATTTGCAAATCCTTTGCAGCGTTCCAAACTTTAGGCTCATAAAAGTTTCGGCATCCAGAAAGGAAGGCTAAGCAACTGTTTCTTGCGAATCCGACTGGCAGAAGGCACAAGGCCAAGTTTAACCTGGTGTAAACATACGGAAGGAGTCTGTTCCAGACTCCATTTGTCTTTTGCCGAAGCTCACACTCTGGCTCAGGTTCGGGAACGTTGGAAGCTCTGCCTGACGCGTCTGCCTCCGCTGCTCGAAAGGAGAAGCTGTCACGGAAGATGAAAAAGAAAATGAAGATGAAGATGACGATGAAAATGAAAATGAAGATGAAGATGGAGACAAGTTTTTGTCGTCCAGGTTCTCTCGTAAATTAGGAAATTTCATGCATGAAAACTGTACAAATCAACTAGACTATTTGTCAAAAATATGGGGCTTTCACAAACACTGTTTTCTCGACCCTGACGTTTCGACGACGTGCACTTCCATGTCCTCACTGCCAATATTTTATTATTTTATGTCAGTTTCAACAAATCATTTGCAACGCCGCTCAGCACCGCGAAGTTATTCACATCCTCATGGTCCATCAGAAATTCAGCTGCGTCCCTTGAACTGTACCAGTGGTGGTCAGTTTCTTTTCCGCCTTTGTGACAATGCCGTTATGCATTTCTCAGAGGGACACGAACTGACGTCAGTAGGGGGGGGCAGAATGCATCTTGGATAAAAGGTAGAGGCAGAAGCGCCACTGTAAAAGAATATTTCCATCTACGATGCAGTATCCATATCTTGTAGCAAAATTATTGAAATCCTGCGAATACAACGCACATTCCGAACCACAGCCGTTCTGCTTGTGCAAACGACTCAAGGTGTTGAGCGTCACAACAGAACAACGTACCTCTTTAACCGACATGCTTTTGGAACGGGAGCAGTACACCTGTCTGTGATTTCATTGTCACTGATTATTCTCATATGCATCTTTGTTTTGAAAATCATGGAATCTTTTGCAGAAGTATCTGACTTTCTGATTGAATATTATGCCAAATTGTAGGCGGAGCTTCCGATGCAGTCAGCAAATGGTTGGAAAGGATATCTACTTTCTGAATCTTTCGTAGCACATAACACTGCAACGTTTGCTGTGATTTTGGGTTGATGTGATGTAGCTACGGATTTCTTAATTTCTTCCGTAACGGCTGGGACAATTTGTTCACATTTCTCAGAACTTGAGTGTCCAGCGGTTTCTACAGTTTTCTCCGCATTTACCGGCTGAGAATCGTTTTTCACTTTTGTAAATATATGTTTTGTTTATAATCACCACTATATTATCTTTATTTGCTGGGAATGCTATTATGACGTGATGTGATAGAAGCGCTACGATGGCATCGTTTTATTCTCTTGGCGTATTCACTGTCATTCCAAGAGAACTTTGGAGAACATATCTGATCTTCTGATGCACGTTTTGTATCGCATTTAGTTCAGGATGTTAGATTCAAGTTTACACAGCAGGATTGGACCTCATTGGCGTTAATTTTTTTGGTACAGTAGTTAAGCTGAGTAGTTTCCTTAATTAACCTCACTTTCTATCCGATGGATGCCGAAAAAACACAGGTGAAATTTATGCTATTTAAGGGGATGTCACGAAGGCAGTTAGCAGAAATAGCAGAAAGTGTCTGTGGAACATGGACAGCGCAGATCGACCGTAAAATCACTTTGCAAACGAAAGAACTGAATAAGAAACGAAGAGAAAAGAGTACAAAATCAGATTGAAAATCAATAACCGAATACGTGGAATCTTGTAAAACCCTAAAGAAACGAATAAAAGGAAATTTCTTTCCATCTAACAGCAAATTGGTAAAAGAAACTGACGAAAACAACCAAATCATGAAGAAATTAAAGAAATTAAATCGGCGATCAGCGCCAGGTAAGCGACAGATTCTAACTCTCAAAACCAAAGGCAAGAGGTTCTAAAAGAAGTGGACGATTTCTATGGACACCTTTACAAAAATGAAGACAACCTCCTCGTAGGTGAAGATGAGAAACTTGCAGACACAAGCGAGGTTGAGGAAATTCGAAACATCTTGTCTGAAGAAATGCGACATGCAATAAAACAGTCAAAGTGAGGTGGGGGGGAGCTCTTGGCTAAGACGTCACTACAGTGGAAGTTGTGGAATCAGGAGGTGAATTACTGACTAAGCACTTGTTTTGATGTTCTTTGAAGGAACTGAAAATTCCAGACTATCTGATTACCGCACCGGTAATTGTACAACATGACACTGGATACACGATCATCTGCAAAATCTTCACGATTATGCTGAAGAACAGACTTCAAAAACTGGACTCTGCACAGACAGCCAATTACAGAACTAGTCTTAGTACGAAGGATCATTTTCTAGTGGTACGACATATAAACCGGATAAGCGAGGAATATGGCTTACTTTCTGCCTGGAGTTCGTCGATTTAGAAAAATCTTCCGACTTAGTTTATATGCAGTCTGTATTGGACAACTTGAGGAGGCAAGGAATCGAAACCTCATCGAAATTATCTACCAAAAATGCAAGGACGTTAGTTTAAACCAAACGGAAAGTCAAAGTAATTCAAAATCGTAACTGACGTTCGACGATATGGTGCAATATCACCGAAGTTATTCACAACAGTCCTAGAAACGGATTTCAAGACACTCCATTGGGAAAAGCAGGGACTGATTGAAAGTGTATTGCCTACGCCATCTTCGATTTGCCAACAGTAGTTTGACCCTTTAGAACTATTCAGACGAATTCTATAGAGGATTCAATGGATTAACCCCAGCAGCATCTCAGTGATACGAAAATAACCTGAAAATGGCTCACGTTCTATTCAATAAATTTATGACCTCACTAATAGTTAAAATCAATGGACTTGGGTTTGCAGCTGTGCAGAAGTTAGTTTATCTGGGACAACTCATCTCTGAAACAAAAGCCGATTGTACAGTATGAACAAAAGAGCAAAAATTGTACGGGCACTTGTTAAAGATTGAAAATATTCTCATCTGATATATTGCTCTTGTGCTGGAAACGAAAAGTTTCCACTCATTGTGCACTCACTGTTACTGTATGAATGCAAAATATGGTCTCTAAGCATGAAGGCTACGCGCTGGTACAGACTACTCAATGCAAAAGGTCAGGAATCACAGTAAGAAAAGGGGAGCGAGGGAATGGTTAAGGGCGCCAACGAGTTTGTACGAGAGAATGCACGCAATGCACGAGTGAAGAAGTTGAAATGGCAATGAACGGAACACGTTGCCGAAAGGACATTAAAAGTACATTAAACAGAGTTCCTATAGACAGCAATCGGTGGAGTACCTCCAGATCGATGCCAAGGTTAGCTCAATAAGTTGGTTGGATGAAGAGCAATTAAAATATCAGAAAGTTTTTACTGACAAAGTCTTGGAGAGGACTTCAACCACCAGTGGTTCAAAAAGGCTGCTGATTATGATATTCTAATAATTACGTTGCTATTTTGAGGCTACCAGTAAACCTGTAGTTTTCCATACAACAATTAAATACACAGTTAAAAATAACAGTGTCCTGGACTTTCTTAGGAGTCACACAGAAGGGTTTCGGATGTCAAAAAACATGATGATTATCCACATACTCAAACGTACATTAATGAGGACGATTTTATCGTTTACTTAATGCATGTTTCATTAAGGAAGTAATATTCAGGGAATTCACGGCTCATAAAAAACGCGGGCACCGCGATCAGCTACGAAATTATCTCGTATCTATAAGATATCCATTGTATCGCAAGGCGCTGCCAACATGGCTACTGGGTTGCTAGGTGTTGTTCCGAAATCGCTCCACTTTTTTGCTCAACTCGATAAGATTTA